CTTAACTATCCCTTGCCCAATACCTCGAGTTATTGGGGCCAAGTGGTTAGTTCGCTAACAGGTGGCCTGGGCCGACGACGGGACGAGGCTTGTCGGCACCGCCCGGCGAAGGTCAGTATTTTTTGTATTTTTTTAACGCTTCCCTACTGATTGGAGAACGAGGTTTTTTGGGGTGGCATGACTGAGTTTGTTTTTCTGAGAATGACTCAATGGAAGGATGTTTTGGTGGAAGGATGCTTGGATTTGTCTTTGTAGAAAGATGACTGCTTACTAGCCACGAAGAGTTTTCTTGGTTCCTATTTGTGTTTGTGCGTTGGTTGAAAATACATGGCAAATTGCTGGTTTTCTGGAAAGATTTGTGATCATAGATTGAGCAAACTGCCCCTTTTCCTCCTCCATTTTCTCATCTTGCTGCCTCTTATTATAGGAAAATCGAAGAACACTAAACACCCCTCTTTCAACTACTTCAGCCTACTCCCATCTCTATAATCAATTTTTTGTGTCCAAATTCAGTTTCTCTTCCTCTCTTATTGAATTCTCTGCTTTGGACAGCTCACACAAGCATGGAGTTGATTTCTTATCTCTGTTCTTTTGCATGCAACATATGAGGGATAGATGAGCAAAGGAAGAGCGGGTCTGGTGTGTTGAACCGAACCAGTTTGATTTGCTATGTGGGCTATTGGTCAAATATGTGGGTTGTGGCCCATTTTGTTGTTTTTTTACTGATTCGGCTGAAAGCACGAATATGTAACTGAGTTGGATTGTAATGGGCTGATGAACTTCTTGGGTTTAAATCTATGCGGGTCAAACCAAATTATTTAGTTTGAAATTAACCCGGGCGAAAATGGGTGTCAACAGTTGCCCCCCTTTGTATGTTTCTTGGTACAAGATGCATACTAAGTGTGATGCACGGTAGCCCAAATCCCTTACCCTAGTAGTGATCGTCATTTAACAAAATAGGGATAGAACTTGCTTGTGATGGAAATTGATTGAACGGGTTGAATTATGCCGGTGATAGAACCGACTTGGCCACTTGGTAATGACAATATTTTCAAGTTGTTCGTGATAAGAATCGACAGAACAAACTGAGTAGGAAAATGTCGCTTATGCGAATCGACTTGATCATTCGGTAATGTGCTTGTGATAATAATCGACTAAACAAGTTGAATGAGAAAAGTCTTGATTGGAACCGATCAATGATGGGAGTCAAAATGGAGTTTTGGTAACAATGATGTATTCAAGTTATGAGGTGATGAGAATCAAACTGGACAAATCAAACGCGTTTATTGATGTGATATTTTGTTGTGCACGGTGTTTATAGCGCCTGCCGACGCAAAGTTGATCATTTTTATTACTTTTAGAAGCTTTCTTGATTGCTCACTAACAATATTTTCGTAATTTTTTCCTTCTCTTTTTTTCATTTTTCTTCTAATTTGCTCTTTAACCGGACCATGTGACTTCTCTCGTCTGAATCTGATCCTTCTGATTTTGATTGCCTTCAGTATTGGTGTTGCGATTCATCAATCGCTTTTCTATGCTTTTGATGGCGGAGCTCTCTTTTATTGCTTCTTGAAATGGCAGCCACTTCTTCGTTCCCCCTAGTTGTGACAGTATGTACAAGTGATCATTCTATTACTGTCCCTAGTTTCCCCCTAGCAGCATACTATTCTTGCTATGACATTTCATCATTATGACTTAATTTTGAAGGCGCTTGAGTGTGAATGTGAGATTCGTTTACCCAGGCACGTTATTGATTCTGCGGCTGTACATGTTATCATGTAGGCAGCAGATCAAGTCATTCTCTTTATTGCTTGAACTTTGATTCTCCTCTAAAATGTTCCTTGTTTACTAGAAAATGTCTCAAGGCCCTTGGCGATACCCGTAAGGCATGAAAAGGTGGACCATAGAAGGCTATTGAAATTGACACATGAGAGACTGCTTAAGATGGGTGCTTATTACAAATCACCACAAACTACATTCGACTATAGTATGCTGGTCATAAGTGAAACTGCGAATCCGTCTTGCAAAATGTTACGAGAACCTAATTGGTCGCTCGGTATCTCAAAGATTCAAACATAGCAACTACGAAATATGGCACGAGAAGTTGAGAAAATTAGGACTCACCAGGATTTAGAGCATAGGGAAAAATCATTTTCACTCGACCAATAAGTTCAGGACACATAATTTATGCCAAGTTGTTATATTTTGAATACACTCGTCCTACCATCCTTCTACCATGAAGTTAGCTCCTAAATGTTTTGCATTTCGACCGAGTCTCCATGAAATGGGTCACCATTAACTTATCCAGAGGACTTTTCATAAGGTAAAATGCGGCTAGAGTTATGGACATGCGATAGTCATTTCAAATGGCTAAAAGTTCAAAAGTATATCGTAATCAATAGTTTTATGCTTAAACATATTTTTGAGTAATAGAAAGGAGAGGAATGATAATATGGGAATTTGGGAGTTTACTTAGCCAATGAGTTTTTGAGAAACAACTCATTTTAAGTGTATGAAAATGGATGGCCAACTCTCTTTTTAGTGGTATGATATTTTCTGCTTTTTATTGGGAGTTTGAAGGTAAGGCCATAGTATATTGATTGTGGAACTACACTTTTTGGATATGATCCCTCCTTAGCTCATTTATTGTTTGAAATACAGAATACCATATTTTAAACATCCTGTGGAACCTTGAAAGGGTTCCAATACGAGGGCTCGAAAGAACAGGGATTGGTTGAAAACATGGTGTAACTGAAGAAACATGGCTAATTTCAATAAGGGTTTGACTAAAGGATATAGTAATACATATAGTCATTTCGGTTGTGGGCTACACCTATGCCTCCATCTTCCTCGTTAATGGTGTCTCGACTCGGTTTGGTGCAAACATTAAGCATAATCATCATGCAGAAAGGGATATAGAAAACATGAAAGAAAACGAACCGATACAAAACTCACAGGCTTCATAGCTGCTCATTCTCTCATGAAAGTTTTCCCAATTGCTATGTTTAAATAAATAAAAGTGGTGATTGGATAATTATGATTCTCATATCATTTTGCATCAAAGGAGGAATATCATTGATCACCCGCATACTACATTCTCAGTCGTCATTACAGATTTTCATACACCCTGAGGAACCATTATCCATGTATCTTTTCCCATTACTATGCACCTAATTGTAGTATCGATAGAAGTGGGAAATCAAAGCCCCAACTCAAAATATGGATACAAGATTATGAGATCAATGGGTGGAGCGGATTTGCTTTCAGAAGGTGATCCCCAAAATAGGTAGATTGTGTCCGTGAAATTTTGAAATGATGGTGATTTGATTTCGCCCTCCATTCTATTTCTCGTGCAATGTCTTCGAATACGTAAAGTATAATCTTCTAAAAGTTCCTTTTATACGATATTGATTCCCCATTTCATCATCAAGCTTTTCAACATTTTCTTGCTCCTCTTTAATCTCATCCAAATCCATCTACGTCTTCTTGTCTTACATCTCCCTTGTGGTCCAGTTTTTGAGCAATTTGGGTATACATTAGAGGAAATATTTGTTTGTTTCTTTGTTTGCCGGTGAGCAATTTCGAAAACTTCTAGAAATCACATTACCTTTATTAGTCATCTCAAAATCTTGTTTTAATGCAACTAAATTTGAGATGAGAATGGGGATTATTATGGGAACGAACACGATTGGTCATATGACAAATTGTTATGATGGAATCGATGGATATGACAATGCATGGGATGATAACTTGAGAAAAGATGCAATTATGCTTGATTTTCTAAAAAAAGTGAAGGAATGAAATGCAATGAGATTTGGTTCATTTCGGGCTGGATGATTTCGTGCGCCCTTACCATCGTAAAGGCATACACTACTCCGTCCAAGGGGCCTAGTAAGGATTTTGCTCGGGTATAGAGCCTCATGTATGAACATCATCATATATCGATAATAAATAAAATAATAATTTCAAACAACAAAATTTAAGACAAATCAATCATAGCCAGACCCACGAAGGTAAAATTAAACCTGTGTCCCTAGCAGAGTCGCCAACTGTCGCAAACGGTCTGTCCGCGAAGCGGCGCAAAAAAAGAGGAGTCGCCACCAATCTCTCAAAGTGGATTGGACACTTCAGAGAGCCATGCTTAATCGGTTAAGATTTAGGCTTAGCTCGGTCTGCGAAATAGATTTATGGGTTCGGTGATCGGTTACGACTAAGGAAGGTATTAGCACCCTTACATCGCCCTATGTCGGTACTATAAGTTTGATTTGTCTTTTATGATATTTGTTTGTTTGAAATTATTTGGATATACTTCGAATACAAGATGCCATTTTTGAAATACATTACATATTCATCAACATGTAATCTCGTTGGAAGAATTAATTAATATTTTTGGTGAGATTTAGAATAAAAGGGTTTTTATTTATTAGTGGACTTGGACCGTAGGACGCCTACGTACCCGGCATCTCGGGATCAAAGCCCTCGTAGTTTTCCCGATGTTTACTTGTTTTAAAACATTTGCTGAAGTTCCCATCGGTATGTAATAGTTTCTTAATTTGATGACGATCCATCGATCGTAATTTGCTTTAGATACGTTAAATGATTATTCATCACATACCCATCGGTACGTAATAGTTTATTGATTTGAACACAATCCATCGATCGGTAATGACTTGATTGTATAATTTGATAAAATAATATTTTAGGAGTTGTGTGGACTTGAACCTTTCGGTCGCCTACGTACCTGATAGACCATTTATTGCGCATGTTTTTACCCCTATTCTTGAGCCGTTTGAGATGTTGATTCTCGTGTTTTAAGCCGATTTCACGCTAGGTTGTGTGTTTATGTCATATTTCAGGGTTTGGCGTTGGCATCGAGGCGAAGAAACGAGTTTCGGGTTGAAAGGAGCACGTTTGAGTTGAAGTGTGCTGGAGGAGCAAAATACCCGGCCATGAGCAAATATACCCGGCCTGGTATTATTCTGAGCAGACCAGGGAAAATCACTTTTGGGCGTTTGAGAAGCAGAAGGGGGCCTGGGCATTGAGTATAAATCCCTGGTCGAGTATTCTTGACCTTGATCGGGGTTTAATCCCCAGTCCTCGACGGTGCGTTTCAACAATCCCCGATCGTCACCTACAATACCCGACCGGGGATCGCGATTGACAGCTTCTCAAGGGAAAAGAAGGGCAAAGTTGAAGGGTTCTGAGTTTTAGAGAGAAAAAGCGTATACCTTGAGAGAGAAAGTGACAAACCTGATTCTTCAAGCGGCTTAGATCGATCTCCATCACCATTGGAGCCCGACTTGAGCTTGGAGAAGTGCTGATTGATTGGCAGAAGCAGAATCTCATCCTCCACAGTATGCTTTCCGCATATGAGCTAGATTTCCCATCTCTCTCTATGGAGTAACTTACTTATTCACTTGGGTATGAAGAACCCTAGATTTGTATGTTAGGTCTGATTGTATGAACCCAAGTACGAATTCAGTGATATGATTATATTCAATTGAGGTTTGATTTCTTGAATGGCATGAATCCTGATCAAATTCCTGTTACTTCTGCTTTGACCTAGAAAGAGAATATCTGCCTAGGTTGATAGAGCACCCTTGATTCAAGGTAGTGAATTGGCGACTTTATTCGAGGAGTCAATTACTATTCTGAACCGGATTTACTTCCGTAAAGGAGGTTTGGTTCGTTAGGGTCTCAATCTGTTTACTCCGGTGGAGGTTAGTCGCCCGCTGGGGACTCAGATTGAGAGGGTCTGGAGACCTTTAGTCGAGACTGACGACTGTTTAAGAACCTCCCGCAGTATAACTATCATTGAAATTGAACTTGGTAAATTACAATCTGGCTTAACTGCATTCTAGGGGGAACCATATCTGGGTGACCTCTCTCAACTTGAAAACAACCTTTAACTGCTTTGCTTGTTTGCTTGTTCGGACCTTCACTGCACTTTCACTGCTAAATAATAAGAACTCATGGAGTAGTCATCACACTTAGGACCCGGGTTGACATTAAAACCCAAACCCGCTATACTACGCTCTAGTAGGTGGTTACACATGGTCATTTTCTAGAGTGACGGTAGAAGCGAGTCATGTTTTTGGCGCCGTTGCCGGGGAATGGCTAGGTTGTTGAAGAAACGTGGTTTCTGTTAATTTAGCTTTTCTTTTTCGCATTGTTTGTTTGCTTTGTCCCACTTGTGCCTTCACGGGTTGCTTGTTTTGGTGTGTGCAGATAGTGCATGACCCGTAGCCAGTCAGGATGTTTACTTCCGTTGGACCTAGAGCTTGAACGCACTTGTCGCCAGCGTAGGTGAGAACAGCGAGCAAGACTGGCTACGGAGGAGCGCATAGACGGACACTTGAGCAGCGATTCTGAGGGCGAGTACGAGATGGAAGGTGAACACAACTCACCCCAGGGGATGCCTCTCCAGGTTCCCCCAGTAAATTAGATCCTAGGGAACAACCCAATACCCTAGGAAGATGGGATTCAGCATCAACCACCCCCGCCGGGTCCCACCTGGGAGTATTATTACACTTCACGGGTCGCTGATATCCGCCCTGTCATCCTCTATCCGCCAATTCCATCGAACAACTTCGAGATCCAGCCGTGCTCGATTGAACTCATTACATCCTCTATCCAGTTTCATGGCTTGAAGGATGAGGAGGCAAGGGTGCATCTTTCCCGGTTCCTGCAACTGAAGAACGGGTTCAAGACCACAGAGATCCAGCGGGAGATCACTCACCTCCGCCAAGAGCCAGATGAATCACTTCGTGATGCATGGCAGCGGTACTCGGGAATTTTCTGGCTGTGTCCCCATCATGGCTTCAGTGATGCATTCACCGTGGGGAACTTCTATAGTGCTCTCTCTCCGGAAAGCCAGAGGGTGATTGAGTCCCTATGCCCAGGAGGGGATACTCTCACTAAGACTCCACCCGAACTGAACCAGATGATCAGTACCTTGGCTGCCAGAGATCATTCCTAGGGGCAGAGCACTAGAGTCAGGATTTCTTGGGATCGTGGTGTGCACGCCATGGAGGCCAGGTCCGGGCTCGAGCAGGAGGTGGCTGAGTTGGTGCAGACATTGAAGCAGCCCAACAGTCTTATTCCGGGCAGAGGTCTGGCCGGACCTCCAGTAGCTCAATGTCAGTGGTGCGAGAGCTCGAACCATCTGTTGGAAGACTACCAGGCTATGCGGGAGTCTTCTACACCCCAGGAGCAGTTGTACTTCATCGCCAATGCTCGGCGCCTCGATCCTTACAATGGTACCTATAATGAAGGTTGGCGCCAGCATCCCAACTTCTCCTGGAATACATACAACACCACTAAACCACCTGATTTCCCAGCACCAGCTGGTGGTTTTCAGCAGAGGCAGCCTTTCCAGGCCAGACAGGGGCCTGTTCCACAGCAGCAGCCTTACCAGCCTTGGCAGGGGAAACCCTTTCAGCAGCCCCAGCGTCAGTATGCCCAGCCACCAACAGTTGCAGCTCCAGATAATCAAATGACGGAGCTGAAAAATATTTTCGGGGCATTCATGACCACTAGCCAGGCGAATTTCATGAGGATGGACCAGAACATAGCCTCCCTGGAGGCAGGCCAGAGGAACCAAGGTGCTATTTTGAAAGATCTACAGAATCATACTGGTGGCCTAGCTCGCCAAAATACTACCAGAGCACCGGGGACTTTGCTTGCCACCACCGTTCACAATCCTCGCAAGCCTCACCAGCAGCGGGATGCCATCACTACCAGGAGTGGCAAGACCACATATGCTGCTCCTTCCCAGACCATGTAGGACGAGCCACTACCTGCCTCAGCACTTCCAGCTGACGATGCAGAAGTGGGGATGGGAAAAGAAGCACCTGCTCCCAAGCCATAGCCAGTGGTTAAGGAGCATGTACCCCAGCTTCCCTTCCCCACTCTCCTATACAAAGACAAGCTGGAGATTGAGTTTGCCAAGTTCATGGCAATGTTGAAGCAGGTCAACATCAGCATGCTGTTCGTGGAGGCATTGTCGAAGATGCCCAAGTACGCCAAGTTCATGAAGGACCTCCTCACCAACAAGAAGAAACTTGGGGATCTTTCGATAGTGTTGCTGCGCGAGGAGTGTTCTGCTATCCTGCAGAACTAGCTGCCCGAGAAGCGCAAAGACCTAGGAAGTTTTACTATCCCTCTTGTTATTGGCAGCATGCATGTAGGAAAGTCCTTGACGGACCTAGGCGCTAGCATTAACGTCATGACCTGCAAATTTTTAAAAAGCTAGACCTAGGTGAACCTAGAGCTACTAGGATGAGCATTCAGTTAGCTGACCGTTCCATCGTGCATCCTAGCGGTATCATAGAGGATTTGTTTGTTAATGTAGGTGCTTTCACATATCCTGTTGACTTTGTTATTCTGGATATAAATGAGGATGTGGATGTGCCTTTCATTTTGCGTAGACCGTTTCTCGCCACCGCCAAGGTGCTTATTGATGTGCATAGTGGTAAATTGATCTTGCGTGCTGGTGATGAACATGCTACTTTTTCTGTGTCTGAGAATGGGAGACACTCCCATTTGCATGATGACTTAGATTACTGTGATGTGCTTGCGGATTTTGAGACCGCACTCGCTATAACGAGTGCAGGTACTGACGATGCTCTTGAGCGTTGTATTTTGCTAGGTGAGCAGGCATCACAGGAGCCGCAGCTAGAGGAGCAGTTGGCCGTGCTGGAGAGTGGCACCTTGCTGGAGGGCAACAGGCTATTCAAACAGATCTCATCCTCACCTCGCATCACCACCTCCTTGGAGGAATCACCAGAGCTGGAGCTAAATTCCCTCCCTCCTCACTTGGAGTATGCATTTCTCCGGGAGGGGAATAAGCTTCCAGTCATCATTAGCTCGACCCTCGCACCCGAGCAGAAGGTCAGACTGGTGGCCTTGCTGAAGCAGTACGAGCGAGTTTTGGCATGGAAGATCACTGATATCCGGGGGGATCAGCCCCTCCTTCTGCTCCCACCGGATATTGCTCGAGGATGAGATGCGGCCAGTGAGATAGCCCCAACGGAGACTGATGCCGAACCTGGAGGCCGTTGTTCGGGCAGAGATAGTGAAGCTGATGGACTCGGGGATCATCTTCACCATTTCAGACAGCGAGTGGGTCAGCCCCACCCAGGTGGTACCCAAAAAGGGTGGGATGACCGTGGTGCCTAACGAGAAGAACGAGCTCATCCTGATGCGCACGGTGACTGGGTACCGTGTCTGCATCGATTATCGGCATCTCAACGACGCCAATCGGAAGGACCACTTCCCGCTGCCATTAATTGATCAGATGCTGGAGAGATTGGCAGGGCACGAGTTCTACTGTTTCCCGGATGGGATGTCCTGGTATTTCCTAATCCCCATTGCACCGGAGGACCAGGCGAAGACCACTTTCACCTGCCCCTTCGACAGATTTGCCTACCGGAGGATCCCATTCGGGCTATGCAATGCCCCGACCACTTTTCAGCGATGCATGCTCGCCATCTTTGACCGCCTGGTCGGCGAGATTATGGAGGTGTTTATGGATGATTTCTCGGTTTATGGAGACTCATTCTCTCACTATCTCCATAACCTTGAACTCGTCCTTAAACGGTGTGAAGAAACGAACCTGGCACTGAGTTGGGAGAAGTGCCACCTCATGGTTCGCGAAGAGATAGTTCTGGGGCATAAGATCTCCAAGATGGGGATTGAGGTGGGCAGAGCAAAGATCGAGACCATCAGTAAGCTGCCTCCTCCACATCTGTTAAGGGGATCCGGAGTTTTCTAGGCCAGGCAGGGTTCTACTGGCGTTTCATCAATGATTTTTCGAAGATTTCCCTGCCCCTGACTAAGCTCATTGAGAAGGATGCCCCCTTCTAGTTCACTTATGCATGCACAACGCCATTCACGACCTTGAAGGAGAAGCTCACCCATGCTCCTATCATGGTTGTTCCTGACTGCTCCCTACCATTTGAGCTGATGTGCGATGCTAGTGACTTTGCTGTTGGAGCTGTCTTGGGGCAGAGGCGAGATCAACACTTCCGACCTATCTACTACGCCTCGAAGACCCTAAATGATGCCCAGGAGAACTACACCACCACGGTGAAGGAGCTACTCGCGGTGGTGTTTGCCTTCGACAAGTTTCGTCCTTATCTGGTCTTGTCCCATGTGATTATGTACACAGATCACTCCGCAATTCAATACCTGATGAGCAAGGCCAATGCCAAGACTAGGCTCATACGATGGATCTTACTATTGCAGGAGTTCAACATCGAGATTCGGGACAAGAAGGGAGCTGAAAATGTTGTAGCTGATCACCTCTCCCGGTTGGACGCACCACCTATGGACTACCTCGAGGAGGAGATCAACGACTCTTTCCCAGATGAGAGACTGATGGTGATGTACTTGGTGGAGAGTGTCACCCCCTAGTACTCCAATTTTGTAAATTATCTGGTAGGCAAGCAGCTACCTAAGGGGATGACAACTCAAACCAAGAGGAAATTATTCTCTGACCTGATGCATTACTTCTGGGATAACCCTCATCTCTTCAGGATCGGAGCCGACGGGATCATCCGTCGCTGTGTCATGGAAAGTGAGATGGAGGGAATTATATCTCACTGCCATGAAGGACCTATTGGCGGTCACCACGGAGGAAACCGCACGGCGAGGAAGGTGCTACAATCAGACTTTTTCTGGCCCACGCTCTTCAAGGACGCAGACGCCTTCGCACGCAGGTGCGACCGATGCCAGAGGTCAGGTAACATCTCTGCCCATGATGAGATGCCCTAGAATGTGTTTATAACCTGTTAAATTTTTGATGTCTGGGGTATCGACTTCATGGGCCCCTTCCCTCCATCCTTTGGCAATAATTATATCTTGGTTGCTGTTGACTACGTCTCTAGGTGGGCTGAGGTGCAAGCTTTGCCCACTAATGATGCTAGACATGTTTGTGGTTTTTTGAAGCAGCTATTCTCCCGGTTCGGGACACCTAGAGCCATCATAAGTGATCAAGGCACCCATTTCCAGGGCCAGTTTGATAAGTTACTGTCTCGCTAAGGTGTGACTCATAAGGTGTCCGTGGCCTATCACCCTCAAACAAGTGGCCAGGCCAAGCTAACAAACTGGGAGCTCAAGCGTATCCTGGAGAAGACGGTGGATCAGTCCCGCAAGGATTGGTCCACCAAGCTCGATGATGCTCTCTGGGCATACCACACTGCCTACAAGACACCCATTGGTACTTCACCTACCGCCTTGTCTACGGAAAGGCATGTCATTTGCCCGTGGAGCTAGAGCACAAGGCCTTTTGGGCCCTTAAGTTGCTCAATTTGGATGTTAATGTTGCAGGTGTTGAACGCAAAATGCAGATGCTGGAGCTGGAAGAATGGCGTTATCAAGCATATGAGAACACCAAGCTATACAAGGAGCGCACTAAGCGCCTGCACGATGCACAGTTGCGGGGTCCGAAGGATTTTCAGGTTGGTGATCGAGTTCTCCTATATAACTCTCGCCTGAAGCTCTTTCCTGGAAAGCTCCGTTCCCAGTGGTCTGGACCATTCACGGTCACACAGGTGTTCCCGTATGGCACGATTGAAATAGCCAACCCGCAAACTGAACCGTTTAAAGTAAATGGTCATCATCTCAAGCTCTATTTGGGAGACGAGGTCGAACGTGCGGAGTTGGTGGTGGAACTCGCGGGCCCTTAGTTCCGCCATGGGCGTCCTGTTAAAAGACGGTAAAGAAGCGCTTGTGAGGAGGCAACCCCACCACGGTTTGCATTTTTTCCTCTTTTTCTGTGTTTTTGTGTCGTGTTGAGTCAGTTGCATGTCTGTGTTGAAGTTCGGTCGTCTGTTTTGTCTCGGTTTGGTGTTTTCGTGGAGGGGAGGTCGAAAAATTGTGAGAATGTGATTTTTGGCCGAAAGGGGAAAAAACTCGGCCGTGGCACAAAATACCCGACCAGGTATTCTTGTGCAATGGTCGGGGCCCCCTTCTTCCTTCCGGGGCGCCAAAAGGGAAAATCCCCGACCTTGACCCAAAAATACCCAACCTGGTATTTTTGGTTCACGGTCGGGGATTTCTCAACCATGGAACGCGGCGTTTCCAAAACCCCCGGTCGCTTCTCTCTCTCTCCTCTTATATTTTCCAAACTCCCTCTCTCTTCCTCTCATTTCCTCTACCCTCTCTCCTCTTTGGTTGCCGCCGGCCGCGGCCCTCCGCCACCATCTCCGTTGCCGGCCATTTTCCGGCGACCGTCCGACGGGTTTTCTGGCTGATTTTCCGGCGAGTTTCCCGGATTGTTTTGGGCGTAATTTTGGGTCCCTCACCCGCTCTTCGCATCTAGTCTACAGTTCAGGGATGCCGTGAGTATGAATGGCTATGGCTAATGTATGTGTGTTTCCCGTGCGATTGAATTGGTCGGTTATGTTTGATTCTTGCCTTGATTGCGGTTGAGTTGCTTGCGATTCAACCGTTTGTGCTTAACTGTTAGCCTAGGTGGTCCTTAAGTGTGGGGGAAGTGATGAACCCATACTGTTGGTCCTGACGAGTTTTTCTTGGCTCCACCTTTGGTTTGTTGATTTTGCAGGATCATGTCACTTGATCACCCGTTCGTGCAGGACCTGTGCCTGCACCCGGATTACGCCGACCAGTTCCGCAAGGTAACCCGCGGAATACTCCAGCGCCACCACCATCCGGACTGGGGAGTCTTCGAGCAGCTCCACTTCTTGAACGATTTCTCCAACGCCATCAGCCACCGTGAATGGTGGACGCTGCTGACTATCGAGGAGCCCACAGTGAATGGCGGACGCTAGCCGACCGGGTATTTTTGGTTCACGGTCGGGGATTTCTCAACCATGGAACGCGGCGTTTCCAAAACCCCCGGTCGCTTCTCTCTCTCTGCTCTTATATTTTCCAAACTCCCTCTCATTTCCTCTGCCCTCTCTCCTCTTTGGTTGCCGCCGGCCGCGACCCTCCGCCACCATCTCCGCTGCCGGCCATTTTCCGGCGACCGTCCGACGGGTTTTCCGGCTGATTTTCTTGCGTAATTTTGGGTCCCTCACCCGCTCTTCGCGTCTAGTCTACAGTTCTACTTGAGGTCCCAGGTGTGTTTCTTGTTAGTTGTTCTTTGTCTGGAAAATCGAACTATAGATTTTAGGACCGAGAATTGTGTTTTGCCTGGCATGCTTGAATTAGATTAGGGTGAGGGATGCCGTGAGTATGAATGGCTATGGCTAATGTATGTGTGTTTCCCGTGCGATTGAATTGGTCGGTTATGTTTGATTCTTGCCTTGATTGCGGTTGAGTTGCTTGCGATTCAACCGTTTGTGCTTAACTGTTAGCCTAGGTGGTCCTTAAGTGTGGGGGAAGTGATGAACCCATACTGTTGGTCCTGACGAGTTTTTCTTGGCTCCACCTTTGGTTTGTTGATTTTGCAGGATCATGTCACTTGATCACCCGTTCGTGCAGGACCTGTGCCTGCACCCGGATTACGCCGACCAGTTCCGCAAGGTAACTCGCGGAATACTCCAGTGCCACCACCATCCAGAGTGGGGAGTAACTTTCTTATTCACCTGGGTATGAAGAACAGGGTGCTCATGTGGGAAATGAAAAGCAGTTGCTCGACTAATAAGGGTCGACCGTGCAAAAGACTGCAGTTGGAACCCCCGCCAAGTGAATGAAAAAAAAAACAAAAAGAAATATACAATGAAAGTGAAAAAAAGGGTTCCAACGGTGAAATGAAGTGAAAGTGCACCCCCGGTACAACGAGTCTTTGGTTGTGAATGGTGTGAGTCCCTTTATCCATGAACTGGCTGTCTTACTTCTACCGATGATCGGGGTTGTTTGTTGCTATATAGGTCTGGAGAGTTGCATTGGTTTGAGTTAGGTTTGCTTGAGGACAAGCAAACGGTTAAGTGTGGGGGAATTTGGTAGACCATTTATTGCACATGTTTTTACCCCTATTCTTGAGCCGTTTGAGATGTTGATTCTTGTGTTTTAAGCCGATTTCACGCTAGGTTGTGTGTTTATGTCATATTTCAGGGTTTGGTGTTGGCATCGAGGCGAAGAAACGAGTTTTGGGTGGAAAGGAGCACGTTTGAGTTAAAGTGTGCTGGAGGAGCAAAATACCCGGCCATGAGCAAAAATACCCTGCCAGGTATTATTATGAGCAAACCGGGGAAAATCACTTTTGGGCGTTTGAGAAGCAGAAGGGGGCCCGAGCATTGAGCATAAACCCCCGGTCGGGTATTCTTGACCTTGACCGGGGATTAATCCCCTGTCCTCGATGGTGCGTTTCAACAATCCCCGGTCCCTACCTAAAATACCCGACCGGGTATTCTGACTGGGGATCGCGATTGATAGCATCTTAAGGGAAAAGAAGGGCAAAGTTGAAGGGTTCCAAGTTTTAGAGAGAAAAAGCATATACCTAGAGAGAGAAAGTGACGAACCTAATTCTTCAAGCGCCTTAGATTGATCTCCATCACCATTGGAGCCCGGCTTGAGCTTGGAGAAGTGCTGATTGATTGCCAGAAGCAGAATCTCATCCTCCACAGTATGGTTTCCGCATCTGAGCTAGATTTCCCATCTCTCTCTATGGAGTAACTTTCTTATTCACCTGGGTATGAAGAACCCTAGATTTGTATGTTAGGTCTGATTGTATGAAACCAAGTACGAATTCAGTGATATAATTATATTCAATTGAGGTTTGATTTCTTGAATGGCATGAATCCTGATCAAATTCCTGTTATTTCTGCTTTGACCTAGAAAGAGGAAAACTGCCTAGGTTGATAGAGCACCCTTGATTGAAGGTAGTGAATTGGCGACTTTAGTCGAGGAGTCAATTCACTATTATTAACCGGATTTACTTCGGTAGAGGAGGTTTGGAGACCTTTAGTCGAGACTGCAGACTGTTTAAGAACCTCCCGCAGTATAACTATCTGACACACTAAAACACAACACCAAACTGCGACCAAGTGTAATCGTAGTCCGGGAATGCAGTAACAGGCAAGTTCTATTATCAACCCGGGGTCTAGATCTACTGCTTACTCCGTGATTATCTATTATCTAGCCAACTAAGTCGAGTGATTGTTGTTTAAAGCAAAAACAGTAAGAAAGCAGGAAATGGTTCGGTTTTCTAAAGCAGGAAAGAGTCACTCGGGAATGAGTCCCCCTAGCTCCTTAGTTAGGTTCAATTGTAATTACCCTGGGTTGATTCACTGTTGATTAAACTGCGGGAGATCCGACAGTAGCTTGGAATCTCTTAAGCTGACCAAGCCCTCTCAGTCTAACTACCCGGCAGACGACTAGTCTTCACCGGGATAGAAAGCTGAGCAATGACACAGAACTCCACTACTGGAATTGATTCCAGTACAAAGCAGTAAACTGGCTAACTCTCGTATAACCAATCTCCTACTATCGAATGAAGATGGCTCTAACAACCTAATCAGATTCTATCTATCTCAGGTTGCAGCAGAAATCAAGAAAAGCTGATCAGACTTCAATCAATCAATAAAATATGCATCATTCGAATTAAAACCAAAACAGTATAATCATCCAAGTACATTACAAATCAAATCCCTAACACAAGGACCTAGGGTTCTTTCATACCCAAGTGAGAGAAGGTTTCTACTCCATAGAGAGAGAGGAAAACGAGATAAAAAGCAGTCATACTCATAAAATGGGAAGAATCTACTCGGGGATGATGATTTCAACTCCTATGACGATCTCCAAGCTCGATTTGATGAAACCCAGCTCCAAGATAGCTTCTAGGATGTGTTCTTCGCACTTTTTCTCTCTAGGGCTATGTTTTTGCTCTGAAAATCCGATTCTCTCATTTGTGGCTCGGAATTGGGTAAAAAACCAAGATTTCCCGACTACCACGGGCAGGCCACACGGCCGTGTGGCTCACCTAGTTGCTCGTGTGACTCAAAACGCGGCGTATCGATTAGTTGAATTTCAGGCTTCCCACACGGCCAGGGTCACACGGCCGTGTGGAATTTCCATCCTGCCCGTGTTTTGCTCTCGGCACAAACCCACACGGCCACAAGGGTGAGTTGCACGGCCCTGTGGTGTCCAGGAATGCCCGTGTGGTTCCTTAGCACCTCGCCACGCGTCCGATCTTCGTGCAATCGACCCCAAACTCGCTCCCAAGCCTCATTCACTTACTAGGACCTGAAATATCACAAACAAGCACAAACCTAGCGTGAAATCGGCCTAAAACACGAGAGAAACCACATCTCAAACGGTGTTAAGAATAGGGGTAAAAACATGTGTAATTAACGGTCTATCAAAACTCTCCCACATTTAACCGTTTGCTTGTCACAAGCAAACCAAGTCAGACACAAGGTAAGCTTACATTTTTCAATCATACCAAAATTGGGGACAAGTCATAAAGGTACACGTGAATCGTACTGGTTTTCTAGCATCAACACATGAACAACTTCAATAGCAACCTGGACAACCACCACAAAGGACATTCGAGTGCAGCAAAATCGAGTAAAGGAAGAGTCTCCCTTCTGTTCACCAACCAACCTAGACTTGACTCAACCACTTACTCAAAACAGTCACCTCATGCATCCAACTCAAGACATCAGAATAGAGACCGAGCAATCTAGGTCCTCACCGGGGTACAAGAGTATATAGAATATGAAAATGAATCACTCACTCTCGACCAGTGGGGTCAGGACAATTTGATGCGAAAAATGCGCATGCTATTTCTCTCAATCCCTAACATCTCTTCACCATGATGGCAGCCTCTAAATGCTAGAGTTCACATATGGGTGTCACCACTAACTAATCCGGAGGTCTTAGACACAGGTTCAAATGACTGGCTAGGGTCTTGGACATGGGGAAAAGGCCTTTTAGGTGGTGGAAGTATTCATAGCACAAGGTTCCACATTTCCAAACCCACACAATCACAGTCAAACAAACCGGTATTTCCTTTCTGCTATTCTGCATTACTCAATATCTCAAGAGCACAAGAGCGAAGGAGGTATAAATGTTAGCATTTCCAAGCCAGACTGCTAAGAAACACTACTTACTGGGCATTATTCAGATTTTTGGTAGTGGCTCTCTTTTGCTTTCAATTTTCTTTGTTTTTCTTTCATTTTCTTTTCATTTCTTAAGAGAGCCACTCCAACACTCACATTAAATTTAGCAGAAACAGCAGAAGATATATAAAAACCACTCTGTGGAACCTTCTAAAAGATGCAAAAGGGTGATTTTTCATTGTAGACCGAAAGAATGGATAACACACGGCTCAAAGGGGCTGACTAGGGGATATGACACATCATGACAGTCAATTTGGTCGTGGGCTAATCCTATGCCCCATCATCTTAGCTAGTGACGACGTGAATGCTACACATCATGGAAGAGGGATCTATCGCACAAGAAAGAAACGAGCAGGCTCAAATCTCACATGGCTACCTATATGCTCTATCTCACATTCTGATACCCTGAACTAGATGCATAAACGACTGTCAAGAACAAGTGATCAATCCAAGTCACAGTTGGTAAGCAAACAGTTGAAAAACTGAACCCCTACATAATTCTACTGCACGTCTCAGTCCTCATCATAGGTTGTCCTAGTCACAATCAAGCTGTCATGCATCAATCCGAAAACCATTCAATTCATCAATCAAAACACAGTGCCAATATGATCAAACAGCAGTACTTGGAGCCCTCAAATTGTAAGATTCGGACTGCGGACTAGGCTCCAAGCACTCAAATATAGATTCCAACCGATACAAAGCACCCCCTCACACTTAAGCACGACATTGCCCTCAATGGAGTAGAGGGAGAGATAAGGGGAGCGATGTTACCGGATTGAAATACTGCTGGGGGACTGGAAGTGGACCAGTCAGCGAGAAACAAATGGGAAGATGGACAGTTCTGCACGAATCGAACACCAAGAACACACTAGCACACTGTGCGTTAGGGATAAGTGTTAGCCCAGACGGCCACAACATAAACAATCCACAAAAGAAAAACAAAAACAAACGACACTAAGTTCAAGCTCCTCACACATGGAGCAAACCCACAAAAGTCTAAAACGAAAAAACACACTCAGAGGTGGGCAACGAGTACAGCCTACTCGTCGCCAAGGTTATCCAGGTCGATGTCATCCATGAAGGCGTCATCACCATCATCACCATCAGCTAGGGGAGGTGGAAGCAACTGGAGTAGGTGCTGCTGGACCTCCTGCATGCACCTAGATCGAACCTTCTCTCGCTCGATATGAGCCAGAGTCACCCCCTGCTGGGTCGCCATCATGTCCAGGCGCTCATTATAAGCAGCCATCCTCTGGTGGTACTCGGCCTGGTGAGCCGCATACTACTGCTGGAACTGGAGCTGCTGGTCAAGGATCTGCTGGTTCTGGATACGCAGCTGCTCGAACAAGTAGGTGAAGTAGTCCTGCTTGGGAAAAGCGGAGCTGCCACCCCCGTACTCGAAGGTGGTCGGGCGGGGGGCAGCAGCCTCATCCACCTCCTCGTGCTCCACATCCTCATCAGCCTCATCCTCCTGGCCCTCTGGCTGGACCTCTGGTTGGTCCTCCGCGGGGATCTGAGGTTCCGGAAACCCCTCGATCAACTGAATGCCGCGGTTCTCTCGCAGCAGGTGCATGTGGCTTACCGTCTTCCTGCCAAAGACGCGGGTGTCCCCCTGCATTGTGCACCCCTACAGTGAAAGCCCGAAGTAGGTGGTGAGGCGGGTGATGAGGGGGGTGCAGTGGAGGCTCTTCAGTTCCGAAGCACTCTTCTCGAAGGTTCTGGCCACCACCGAACCGAAGTGGAGAGGATGGTCATGCTGGCGGATCGACTCGATGAAGTACATGGCCCTCTTGGTGATGGCGCTGGCACTGTCTAAAGCTGGGGTGTAAGACTTCGCCAGCAGGTGGTGGAGAAGGCGGTTGTCGAGGTGTAGGGTGGTGGCCTTCGTCTTCCCGGCCGAGAAGGGACGCTGGCCTGGCCGAGCCAGGCGGGTGTACAGCACCCTAAAGTTCACCTCCGGCGGGTCATTAACCTCGGTGACGTAGTCCTCACCATCGTATAGGCCGAGGTCGAGAGCAGCGGCCAGCTCGAGGTAGCTCATAGACCGGGGTGCACCGCATAGCCTGAATTGGACGGCTGCATCGTTTCTCCAATCCTCCGTGGTTGTGTGCTTAAAGGTCGTGTAGAACTCCAGCACGGGCTCGTAGTAAACCTTCTCGTGGATGGAGAGCAAACGGCGCCATGGGCGGTTGGTGACGATGGCGAAGAGGTGCTCGTAGCAGTGCAACTTCTGAAACTCCCGTTTGGACCAGCAATGGTGCTGCCCAAACGAACATGCCAGGGCTTGCTTGAACCGATCCTGGTAGGGGCCCCTCTTCAGATCCTGGATGAACGG